GGGGGGGGGGGGGGGGGCGCCGATTCCTCGAGGACAGAGAGCGAGCAGATGGAAGCAAAACAGAGCGCGCGCGTCAATGGGACGTCGTCGGCCGCTGCTCGTTCGCTCACTGGGGTCCCGGCGGTCGTTCCAGCGATCCAGCGGGCCGCTGGCGCGATGAGAGGAAGCCAGAGTGGTCCGTACGACTCCACTTCGCGCCCGGGTGGACCTAACGCGGCCTCATCGTGCTGTTGAGCGGCTGCATCAGGCCGCCGTTGATGTAACCGTGATACGTGGTGTAGACCGCCGCCGGGTTCTGCTGGTGCGGGTCCTGCGGGTAAGGCGCCGGCACGTTCACCACGCCCACCGGCAGCTGGCTCGCCTGATTCATGAAGCCGCCCAACTGGGCCGCCTGGTTCATGTAGCCGGTGGCCGGCTGGGCCACCCGGTAGCCGTACTGCGCGGCCGCCATGAGATTCGTGTTGAGCGTGACGTTCGGGCTGACGCGGCTGGCGGCGCTCTGCATCTGCGGACAGGCGCCGCCCGGGTCGAGGCTCTGCCGGTAGAGGCTCTCGCTCGGGTACGGCTGGGTGAGCGAGGCCATGTTGGCCGCGGCGTTCGCCGACGACCTCGAGGCGGAGCGGCTGGGCGGGCCGGGCGTGCCCGGCGGCCCTACGGTGTTCACGTTGTAGTAGTTCTTGGCGTAGCCGAGCGGCACCTGCGGCGGCGTCGGCAGCTGCCGCGACGTCTGCGGCGGCGTCATCGTGTGCGGTATCGGCGGCGGCGGCGTCAGGTTCATCGCCGGCGAGGGCGTCGGCGGGATCATGTCCAGGCCGTTGGTGAGCTGCTGCAGCTTCGCGAGGCTGCACGAGTTCGTCGCCTGGTGGTTGCCGGACGCCGCCAGCGAGGGCGGCGCCGGGGTGTGCGAGTGCGGCGGCATCGCGCTCGTCTGTATGTAGAAGTTGGTCGCGGTGGTGCAGGGCGTCGGGGCGCCGGAACGTCCGCCCCGGTGCTGTATCACGTAGGTGTTCTGCGCGGGGAAGCCCTGCGAGCCCGCGACCGCCATGTAGTTGCCCTGCGAGATCACCGCCATGTTGTGGGAGTGCGCGGCGGCGGCGGCGTGGGCCGAGTGGGAGTGCGGGTGAGTCATCGGCACGCTCATCGACGCGGAGGGCGACTGCTGGTACTGCGGCGGCACCGTGTGCGCGCTGCCGCCGCCGCTGTGGGCGACGGTGCTGTTGCTGTGCCCGCTCTGCGAGGTCTGCCCGTGGGGCGTCGCGGGCGGAGTGGCGCGGTGGGACGACCTGCCGCTCTGCTGCGTCGACCTGGACCGGTGGGTCGTCTGCGAGCCGCTCGCCCTCTTGCTGTGCGACTGCGGGGGAGGCTGCGACGGCTGGTGCGCCATGCTCTGCTGCCCCAACGACAGCTGCATCGGCTGGGGCGTGTGCGCCTGGGGCAGCGGCTGCGGCGTGTGGCTCTGCGGCATCGGCTGCGGACTCTGAGTCGGTATGCTCTGCGGCGGCAACGGCTGCGGCGTGTGACTCTGCGGCAACGGCTGCGGGCTCTGGGTCGGGATGCTCTGCGGAGTGTGCGACTGCGGGGTGCGCGGCTGCTGGAGGGACTGCGGCTGTGGGTGCATCGGATGGCCGATGCCCACGTGAGCGGGCGGCGTGTGCTGCGACATCGAGCAGTCGGCGTACTGCACCTGCTGCTGCTGCTGCTGTTGTTGTTGCTGCTGCTGCGACGTAGGTAAGTTCACAGGCATCGGCGACGACGACGACGTTACCGGCGCAGCGATCTGCATGGACACCGTCATCGGCGCACTCACCGACGGCGGGATGGACGGTAGCGCGCTCGGCGGCCGCTCCACGCTGTTCTGCGACGCGAGGTCGCTCGCTATGGACGTGGGCGACTCGAGGCCTAGCTGGCTGACGTCCAGGTCGCACTGGCCGTAGTGCAGCGAGTGCACCGAATTGGTGGTCGAATCCGGGGTGTAGACCCCCATGGACGGCAGGTCCGGCTGCGACGGTGGCGTTCGCTTCACCGAGCCCGGGTTCTCCAAGTGGGGCGTCGTCTTGCCGCTCTCGGGCGAGTGCTGCTTCAGCTCGTCCGTCTGCGTCTGCAGCGCGGTGTCCTGCTGCTCCAACGTCGCGGGCACCGCCTTTTCCTGAGGCGTCAGCGGCTCGACCTCCGTCGTCGTCGTCGCGTTGTTGCTGACGCCCCGTTTCTCCGTCGTCGCCGGCGTCGTCGTCGCGGGAGACGCCTCGGCCTTCGGCCGCGTCAGATCGAGCTTCGTTTCCTTCGTCGTCGTCTCGCAGACAAACTCTTCCTTGGGGTCGTCCCTCTTCGGCAGACCGGCGGCCTCCGGCTTGTCGACCTCCTCCTCTTTTGGTGAAGCAACTTCAGGTACTGTTTTCGATGCCTCCGGACTGCGCACGGGCCTCTCAGTCTCGGAGTCCTTATCACATTCGTTTAAAGTTTCAGTCTGATCGTCGCCGACCGGTGCCGCCGGCTCCGCCTTCTGCGGGGAGCTCTCCGCCTCCTGCGACTTGTCGTCCGCTACTGCCCTCTCGTCGTCCACTCGGACGACCTCCTTCGCGGGCTTCTCCGCGACAGGCGAGGACGGCTGCTGTTTGCCGGGTTTAGGCGCGGGCATCTCCTCCTCTTCGCCTTCGTCCTCGTCGCCACCCTCGTACTCACCAGGACTCGCGGACGCCACCTCCGTCTCCGCGGTTGCGGTCGAGCCGTTGTTCTCCTCCGCGCTCTCGCTCTTGCTGTCCGCGGCGTTGCCGGCGGCGACCGTCGAGTGCTTCGACGGTAGGTCCGGTGCGGACGGTTGCTTCACGGCCGCTCGAACGGAGCCGTTTTTCACGGATGGTTCCGCGGAAGGTGGTGGGGATAACGACGGTGGCGGTATCACAGGACTCTCGGCTCGGTTCTTCGTGGGCGGTTCCGGCTTCAACTGCGGCATCTTCAGAGCCTCCGTCGACGACGACGTCGTCGTCGTAGTCTTCGCCGTCGCCGCTGTCGTCGTCGTGGTCGTCGTCGAGGTCGTCGTCGTCGTCGCCGCCGTTTTGGTCCTGCCCCGTCTCGACAGCGTCGACGAATTCTTCGACGAGTTCGAGTCTCGCGCCTCTTCCTTGCCGCCGTTGCACTGCGCCTCCTCCGCCTTTTTCTCCTTCGCCTGCTTCATCTGCATGTACTTGGTCTGCCTGCTGGTGACCTTCAGCAGGATGTCGTCCACCTTGCACTGCTTCTTCGACGGGGACTTCGGGGTCAACGGCAGCGGTGCTCGTCGGCTCGTCGACTCCGGCTTGGGCGGTGCCGTCGGCGTCTCCTTCGGCGAGGACTCGCTCTCCTTCGCTTTCTCCTTGTCCTTCGTCTTCTCCTTGTCGCGCTCGGGCTCGCGTTGCTCCTTGTCCCGCTCCCTCAGGGACTCCCGCGTCCTTTTCCGGATGTTCACCTCCTCCTTGCCCGCGGCTTCAGTCTTGTCGGAATGTTTGCGTTTCCTCAGCGGCGTCGTGACGGCGGCCGCCGACTCGGCCAGGTACGTCTTAGGCGGTCTGATCCTCCTCTTCGACATCGTCATCACGTGCGTCGTCTTCGGCGGACTGGTCGGAGCGGGGGTGTTGTTCTTCGCCGAGCTGACCGCGCGGGAGTTCCTCGATGTAGAAGAGGCCGCCGCGCCGCTCTTCGAGTCCGCTTCGCCGTCCTTCCGGCTGTCGGCGCTCTCGACGTTACCGCGACTCTCCTTCGCGGACTCCCTCGACTCCTTCGACGCCCTGACCGCGTCTTTAGCGTCCTTCTCTTCTTTGCCCGCGTCCTTCTGCAGCGTGTTCTTCTGCGGAGGCCTCGGCTTCAAGGGCGTCGACCTCCTCTGGCCGATTCTCCTACCCCTCGGCTTCTTCTTTATCTTCACCTTCTGTATCTTCTCGACGACCGCCGGCGCAGCCTTCGGCTCCGTCGCCGCGGGGGACACCTCCGAGCTGGTGTCGCCGCTCTCCTCCGCGGTCTGATACGGGTTGGGTATCTGTGTGAGCAACGGTATCCATCTGAGACAGTCGGGGTCGAGTTTGATGCGGGAACTCTTCCGCACCTTCGCCATGTGCGCGTCCACCTTATCCCAATCGACTACCACAGCCACCTTCGAGTTCCCCCCACCGGGCAGCTGCACCGACTTGATGAAGCCGAGCAGCTGCATCGCCATGGCGATGTCGTGCGCCGACACGCCGGTCTCCTTCGTGATATCGTCCAACTTGATGCCGTTCGCGTTCCGATGCGAGTCCAGGTACTCGAGTACCACGCTCTTCCAGAAGGAATGATACGACACACGGCCGAGATCGGAGAGCGGCTTCTCCGGCGTACCCGGGATACCCTCGACCTTCGACAGGAGATAACTGAACTCGATGAGAAACCTGCCGAAGCCCTGTCTCTGATACTGCGGTAAGGTCATGATGCAGGAGACGTTGTACCTCTGCGCTGGGCAGTGCTTTTCCTTGCTGAAATAGCCGATCAAGTGGCAGCCGTACCTGTCGTTCTTCGTCACCGCGTAAAACAGAAAGGGCTCCACGTCGTAATAAAGCGTCTTGTGATCCAGGAACAGCTTCGCCAGCAGACAGAGGTTCTGACAGTAGATCTTGTTCACGTTGCCGTCGATCTGCAACACCCAGCGAGAACACGTTGCCCCCTCAGTCATCGAACGTAGGTGAAGAAAAAAAAATTGGTCTTCCCCCCCCCCCCNATTATCTCTTATGTATCAAACGTTATTGTTTATTTGCGATGAAAAAATTCCTATTCAGAAAGAAAATTAGAGGATAACAAAAGTTACACCGCCTACGTGCCTTTAGATAATTGTAATCTTTTTGAGTAAAGAAGAAGAACGATCCTGAGAGAACACAAAGCGATATGAAGCGCTCGCATACCTCGAACACGGACAATCCGTTACACCTGTAGATCTCGGTAGCCGGCGGATGCCTCCATTGACACTTGTCCATGTGCCTGTCGAGCACCGCCCGGCTCTTGGTGTACTTGAGGCAGAACTCGCAGAAGAAGAGCTTCGGTAGTCGCGCGTACTCCTGAGGGAACGGGCTCGAGTACCAAGTCTCGACCTCGTAACGGCCGAACACTATCGCCGCAGGATTGCGCGCTGAGCTGCTGTTGCCGGACGCGTTGCTGGCGTTCGAGTTGGCGAACAGATCGCTGTCGTCGTTGGTGACGGTCAACCGAGCCGCCTTGTCGCGCGCCTCCTTGAAGAGATCCACGTCCTTCTGCGTGACACCCGGCGGCAGAGTCAGCGTAACGACCGGCTCATCTGTAAGAGAACGAGAGGACTCCGTGAACATTCGCGCGAACATCAAGCGCGACGTTCCAACGCAACAACTCTCCTCGGGGGGTTTTTTTTTTTTTTTTTTTTAATCTCCCGTCGGCGGAGGTCGATTTTACATATTACTTATCGTCCGCTGATGTTAAGAACAAATCATCACATCTTTCTTCGTGTACGACGCTAGAGCTCTTTAATCGCAATCGCAATTTTTGTTGTATATATATATATATACATATATATGAGAGAAAAAACAGGAGAAAAGTGTCTCATGTAAAAGAAATCTGATGGACGAGCTCGCAAACAATATAAGAGAAAAATGTCGGGAATGACTCGCCAAAATGTCAAAACACGCGGCACCGGACGGCGTCCGGCGCGCGCGCACGTTTTCGGAAAAGAGCAAAAACAACGAACAACAAAAGAAACGTTAACTCTAGAGCACGTTAAAGCACGTGTCCGTCGACATACCGCGAGAAAAGACAAGGGGACAAACGGTTGTGCGTATTGTACGGTTGATGGTGTAAACTCGCACTAGAGATACGAGATGCATTACACAAAAAGCCAAGGATAATTTCATTATCACTCACGAGCCGGGTGCTCGCGGGAGACGCGACCTGGGCTGGATTTAGTAGTCGTTACGTTTTTAGACTAACGGGGGGTGGGGGTGGGGGGAAATTAGCCACGTCCTATCGTGGGGAACCGACTGGTCAAAAGTGGATCTATATAATTAAACCATAGGAAGCGAAAATTATAAATCGACCGGCATGGCGTGGTGAGGGAGAGAGGCAGTAGCAGTAACCCCCCCCCCCCGGCCCCCTCACGTGACTTAACAAAACGTTGGAGAAAGATTAAAAAGAAAGAAAGAGAGAGAGAGAGAGAGAGGGAAAAAGGAAAAAGAAAGATATTACAACAGAAGAAAAAATGCGGCGTCGACGATTCGACGGCTGTTAATAAAAAATGTGAGTAGTATTCCAAAGCAAAGCTGTGGGTTAGGTTTGTGGGATGTGTTGGCAGAGTATCAAAGTTGGCTCTTCGTCGGCAGGGACTTCTCTTTCGTGAAGAAGGGGGTGAAGGGGGGGGCGGTGTTATGCAACAGTGCCTGCTAATCGTCAGCAGCAGCAGGTAGGCTCCAGTGTGAACGGTACAAGGAGGGTGGCTGAATGAGATAAGTCACCCATAGTGCCGTATTATTCTCGTATCAGCGGCTGGAAACACTTCTCGTCGTCGTCATCATCGATCGTTTTTACAGGCTGAGGGACAGAGAAGAGTCGAAGGAACGAATCGTCAGAGCGAACGTGTCCGATCGAACGTTACGTAACGGTAGACGCGCGACACGCGTCTTCCTTTCGCCTATTTCAGCGCGGGAGATCGGATTCTGGCGGAGAGTCTCTTTCTCTCTTTCTCTGCGGAGAATGGCGCACTTTGGTCTGCAGAAACGCAAGTACAACGAGAGTACCCGGCCACCGTTCGGATGCCCAGCGATGATCACCGTGGAAACCACGTCGGATGGATGTCGATTTTCGACGTGGCCGAAAGTGCGAAGAAGAGGGTAAGAAAGGCTCCGATGTACGAGATGAAAGAGAGATAGATGGATAGAGAGAGGGAGAGAGATCGAAATAAAAACAGTGCGAATAGATGTCATGTAATGTACATGGCACGGCGCGGACACGACAGAGTAGCTAGTCCCGTACAAACACAAATCACCATCGGGTGTCGTGTCGATGATTGCGAGAAGAAACGTAAGATGATCGTGCCCGAAGTAACGCAGAATGAAGAAGAAGGCGGCTTCTCTACGCGTGCGATGAGGGCGTGTCTCTTCAAAAAAATCCGTCGTCAACTTCTCCCCCCCCCCCCC